ATAGTGGGGTGATACGTGTCTTTGTTGAGGTTTGTTGTTGATGGGATCCTTTATTTTAAATAAGAATATTAAACCTGAATTGGACTTAGAAACATTATTCAAAATATATAATATGATTAGAAAATAATTTAGGAATTAAATAAGTAATAATAATTATAATTCTATATCCGAATGTTGTTGTTGTTGTTTTTTCCCTAAATTGTATAATATATAATATGGTTATATTATATATCATTATATAATGGAAATGATATTTGAGGAGTTTGAAAATTTTGAAAGGAGGATATGGTTGAAGTTTTTAATATTGTAAGTGTGGAGATGGTTTATTAAGGGAAATATTGTGATATAATATATGGGTGTTGTTATGTTTTTTTCGTTTTGTTATTATATTGAATTTGTAATATATTGGGTTTTGGAAAATGAACATTATATTTGGTTTTAATATTGTAAATGGGGTAGAAGGATTTATATATGATATTAATATATTTATAATATTAGCGGATTTAATTGTTTGGTGGTATGGTGTTTGGATTGAATAGATATATGTGTTTTAAAGATAATTTCGATATATGAATTTTGTTAAAATTGGTTAGATTTTGTTTTTGAAATTCATACGTGGTTGAATATTTATTTCTATTTTAAATATTATAATTTTTATATAAATATAGATATGTTAAAAAAATAATAAAAAAAAAAAATGATATGAGAAATTTGGGAATTTTGGTTGGAGCTCGTTTTTAATTTGCACGAGTGTTATATAAATATTAATGAATTTTAGGATAAGATTTGGTTAAATTGCTTAAATTTTGAATGTTTATGAGAAGGTAAATTGTATGTATGTTTATAAGGATTGAATTTTGAAATATGTGTTGTTGTTGTTTTTTTTTTTGTTTTTTTAACAATTTTTATATTTAAACAAAAAATGTTATGGAATGATAGACCCAAAAACGAGTAGAATAGATATGAAAGTTGATTAGAATTTATCTTGAAGTTCATTGATATTTATATGAAATTCATGAAATAAGTAAATTATATAAATATTAATGAATTTTAGGGTGATTTTGGTTATATTTCACAAATTTCGCATGTCTATGCGAAGGTAAATATCTCCAATTCTTTGTAGGTTGTATAGGTCGAGGTTCCAGATAAATTTCTCTAAAATCTTTGTACACAAATAAAAAGATGTTGTGGAGCAACAATTATGGACCCAAAAATGATGAATAATTTATACGAGACGGTTGAATCTCTAAATATTGCCTAAGGGCACGGTCCAATAAGAGAAACATTGTGATATGATATTTGTAGCCCCCCTTCTCCTAATACAATGTAACGGTTTGTTATGCGCTTGTCTCGGCGCTGCCCCGCCGCTCCCGCGGCCAGGAGGTGGTTGCAGGACTGGGCACCCCGGGTTGCTACCGGCCCGGTTTAAATTGGTAGTTTGGATCGGTGTTTTGGAGGTTAGGAGGTGGTCAACTTCAACATGATCTAGGGGTTCAATCCCCAAACCATCAATCCAAACCAGCAGTTAGGGGTAAGTTGAGGCGGGTGCCAAAAAAGGGCCAAGCTCTCAGGGCCCAAGATTATAGAGCCCGCGCCGGCAAGACATTTTTTGCAACTCAGGCACCAACATATTTTATCATCTCATACGTACCAACACATGTATACTCGTCGCATGCGAAAAGCATGCTGCCGTTCTCCAAACACAGGTCGCGAGACGCACTGAGGGCCGGGCTGGTCGCGATAAGGTCACACCAAAGACTAAAGAGTCAGTGAAAGGCGGTCGCCTGAGCAAGGTGAGAACGGATCCGCGGACTGTTGGCCTTAAAAGATCCATCCACACACGTAGTTGTTGCAAGCAAAGCCGAATTGATTTCGCCCAAAGCATAGAAAAATACCACTGGTCGCAACAATAATCGGCCGCGGCTCACAACTTCTCGCATCGCCAAATTCTTGGAAGATGGGCCAAGATTTCAGCCAAAATTGCTATGGACAAGCAGACAAATGCCCCGACTCTTCATCTGGAAGACACAACGGCTTCGTTTAACAACTACGGATGGGGAGATATATGCCTAGACTCTTGATCTAGAAGACACAACGATTTCGTTCAAAGCCCGGACCATTTTCCGAAATATTCCGGATATTTCGATAGTCGCACTCCAAACCATTTTTCCGAAATATTCCGGATATTTCGACGATAACATTTCCCGAAATATTTGGAATATTTAGGGAAAATGGTCCCCGAAATGGTGGCTGCGATTCCCGGACCGCTTTCCCGAAATATCTGGAATATTTCGGGAAATTGGTCCCTACAAAAAATGAAGCCACAATGTCTTCCGCACATATGCCGGGGAAGCCCGGACAGATTTGGGCAAGCGGTCCGTAGGAAATATGAAGCGGTTACATCTTCCAGGGGCAGTCCAGACCAATTTTCCGAAATATCGGGATTTTTCGGAAAAGCTGTCCGGGAAAACGCGCGCAAGTGCGACGAGCAAATTTCACGGTTTCGTTTTTATAGAGTAAATATATATATATAAATAATTTATATATATATATGAATTATATTTTAGACAATTTTGTAAATTTAGAATTTTGATATTTATAAATTGATAATAAAATATATAATTTGATTGTTGTTTATTCAATTAAATGATAGAAATATTTTATACAAATAAATCATGAAATAAGTTGATTGTAATAATTGAAACATTGAAATTTAACAATAATATATATATATATTGATAGATGTTAATTATATATAAAACAAATTAGGAATATTAGAAATATGGGAAAAATATATAAAAAATAATATAATAATTCGATAAATTATGAATCATGAAAATTATATATATATATATTGAATATATATTTTAATAATTATGAATATTGATATATATATTATTTATTTAAATTAAAGAATTAAATTATATTAATTATTAGGTTTATTATAAATTAATTATATATAATATATAAATTCTATATTTAGAAATATATCTAAATAATAAATAACCATATGAAATTCACAAAAAAATAAATATAGAATTAATATTAATTATATAGAAATATAAATATATAATATTCAACAACACATAGTTAATTAATATATATATATATATATTCAAAATTGAATATAATTTATAAACATAAATTCATTATATAAATAACAAAAAATTGAACCTATAAAGATTATATATAATAAGATATATATATATATAAATACCCAGAAATATATGCAAATGATTTGGAAATTACGATGTAATTGGCAAATAATTTAGAGAATAAAACAAAAATATTAAATTGAAATATATTAATAGCAATTTCCAAAGAAATTTAAAGAATTAACGATAATTTATATATAATTCCTATATCTAGAAAATTAATAGATAGACAATATTTCAAATCCCAATTTATATTTTTATTTCCATATCCCAGAAAAGAATAAATAAAACCCATATATGTATAGTTTAATCAATATAATTGATTTCCCGTATATATTATTATATTATTGATTAATATTGCCTTATCAATTTTATTAATTTGGGTTTAATTATATTCTATTATTGAAAATATTATAATATATTAATTTAAAATACCATTTTAATTGTTCCCAGAATTTAAATCTAAAATGATTATTAATCGTTACAAAATTCATTCCATTCTAAATATAATTATATATATCGAAATTAAATATAATTAATAAATTATAATTATATTCAATAAATTATAATTCTTTTGTTTCCTATAATCTCTAAGCGAATTATTCCCCATTTAGAATAAAAAATCCAATACAATTATAATATTTGTATATATCAATAATTAATCCCTATAAAATAAATATATATATTTCGGTCAAAAATATCAATCAATCATTTTTTTTTTAATTTAATCATTATAAATTATATATTTAAATAATCTATAATTTAATATTTATCTATATATATATATCATTAACAAAAAATAATATAATTATAATCATATATTTCAATATAATTATAATCATATATTTCAATATAATTATAATCATATATTTCTATATAATCCATTATGTTATTTATATCCATTCCACATTATAATAATTATAAATTAATAATTAATATATATAAAATACAAAACATATAAATCAATAATATTTTAGAATTCCAATTTTTATCAATATTATGTAATAATAACCATTCAATAAAATATATAAAAAACAATTAACAAACAATAAATCCACTACAAATTATTAAACATATACAACCCACCAAATAAAAATCCAATATAACAATATATAACAATCCTAAAAAGAAATATATTTTCAACCAAACCCACCCTCAATACCATAACCAAAAACAATCCAAAAAAAAAAAAACAATCATTAATTATAAAATATTTTTTATTTATTTGTTTTTATAATATTTCAATATCATTTTAAATCCTAATCGCTAAAAGCGGGACACAATCCTGAAAATCCATGGACTTAGGACAAACAAAAATGATCCGTTTTTCACTCACGACATAGAATTTTGGGAATTTCGGAACTTCCCAGAGGTGGCAGTCTTCTGCACCCAGTATAAATGCGAACATATTGAGAACGAGCCAAATTTTTGGCATCACCACGCAAACCAAAAAAAAAGCAGGCACATAGCCGCAAGCACACACACACAGAAAAAGATAAGAAAATCACAACCGGCTCGTCTGCAAGTCCAAAGGCACCAGTATGACCACGTTCGTATCCATGCGCGAACCTCGAGCACAGCCTCGAGGCCATCCTTTCAGGATGGCTGTCATGGTATTTCATTGGAGCAACCTGTTTTCTGTGAGCGTTCCGTCTTGGCAGGTCAGACCTGTGTCTCCATTCATCGCCATGCGCCGAACAAACTTTATCCGCGGCCAAAACTGACCTTGGGAAGCTTGCCGGTGGCTCGTGCCAACCATCCATGAATGGAAACGCGGCCAGTGACCACACTGCAAGTAAGGCTACTTCCGCCTATGCAAGCCTCCCATCTTTGTCGGCTGACTCTTCAGCTCAGGCCAGCGAGGCGCTTGGCCTTGCAGGCGCGAACCATCCTCAACAAAGTCAAACCAAGAATCGTCTCCCTGCATCAGACCCCCTCCATGGACGCCAACAGCTGCCTTTATTTTGGTAGACGGGTGACGCAGCAAACTAACACTTTGTGCCTTGTTTACCCTTTTAGCAGGTTGCGCTGAGAAATGGAGGCTTACACTAAGTGCCATGTGCCATGTGTTAAACTCTGCAGCCGGCTGATTCAAACTTAAGCATGGATCATGAGGCATTTTGGTGAGAAGGGAACGCACAAGAAGAGCATGCGCGTTTTGGACATGATCCGAACTGATGAGGATGCAAGGGACCTCACGCAACATTTGATGCCTTTTGCCATCATGCGACCTGCTTGCCTTGATCTTCTCCTGCAGCTTGTCCAACATGAGCACGACCTGGCGGGTGCCCGAGCCCTTTCATAGGGCCCAAGCTGTTCAATGGAAAGGGAGGGGTCAGGAAGCAATGTTTCTGACCAAGTCGTCGCTCCCGGGCCTCTTCCCAGCTTTGGCCCTGCTCCTCCGGCTTCCCATCACGCTCCACCGTCTCGTCCTCGTAGGTGACGCCCCCTTGCGGGTCGACCTTGCCAGCCGGGCTTCGGCAACCAAATCAAAGCGGCCAGATGCGGCATCCCCATATCCCCCTCTCCATGGCACAAGGCGCCTTTTGGACAAATCACTTCGCGCGCACGCGACCGTGCCTGAAGCTTGGGCACCTTCACCTTTGCCGTTGGCCTGGCAAGGGCCATTCGACATTCGAGCACTGCAGGCGGCGAGTCAATGCAGGCGTCAGGCATCCGGAAAAATACCACTCGCATATGATGGCGCCTTTGCCATGCAACATACACCATCCACCATCATGATGGAGTTTGCTGATACAAGTGCAAGGCCAAGGCCTGATGAAGCCGCTAAGCCAGCCCAATGAAGTTGACACGAGAAACAACAAAGTTGACAACCAGCCCAGTTTGTGTCAACATGGAGGAGCCCCAAATTGATCAGCGCCCTTTCGGGTTGTCTTCCATGCCACCAAAAGCCGGATGATCTGTGGCTGTTGTGGCCGCAAAGCATCCTGGGCCCTGGCCCTGTGGTCGGCGCAGCCGTGGGGAAGGTGGAAGGCACTGGTGCGGGCGGCGCAGCTGGCGCAGCTGGTGCAGCTGGCGACTGGGCCTCAGGGCTGGCGCACTTCAACCTGAAACCACAGAAACAAATAAAGGAATCCTGTATACATGAAGGACGATGCCTTGTGGAGAGGCTGTGGGGGCACAAAGGCAAAACAGGAGGGCAAGGCCCGCAGCACCCAAGATTGCAAGGATAACATGGGCAACCCAGCGGCCAAAGCGGAGCTCCACAACATTCGCTGGGGCATCTGAGGGTTGATTTAACTTGAGACCGCAGAGTCGCAGAGTTCAAAGCACCCATCTTGATGGGCTACCCATTCTCATCTGATTTCGTGATGCCTGTTCACTTTCTGTTGAATCCTGTTGCAACCGAGTCATCCTATTTAATTGCTGTTCCAATGTTTACTGGTCTTTCCTCTACAGTCTCTTCCTGGCAAATTTGGATATCCTTTCTCCTGACTACTGCTCTGTGAAAAGTCAAGCATGACATGTCTTCATTGCATCTCTTGGGTCGCTTCTTCCTATAACTCTCAGAGAGAAAGTCGTTCCTAGGGTCTAACACTGAAGTCACAACTTCCTCTTGTATAACCATTGATCTCTCTCGTTCTCATTCCACCTCCAACATGTATACCTATGAGATGTAAATGAGAGGAAATACAATGGACAGAATGGGGGTCCCTCTCTTCGCCAAGCTCTTTGGCTGTGAGTCACCTTGTGAGTCGCTTCTCTCAGCCAAGTGCCGGGCCCAGGTGGGTGGGCTGAACTGCTGCGGCGGTTGCCCCCTTCAGCCAACTCGAGGGGGTTGGGCTAGCAATTTGGCTAGCAATTTAAGGGGCTAGGCTAACTAGCGCAGGGATTTGAATGAAAGATCCAAGCATATCCGATCACGTGGCACAAAGCCCGCCTTCAATCTAGGTTTGTGCCATCCCAATCCGCCCTTCATCTTCCAAAAGCTCCACACTACCGCCGCTTTTGAATGTAGAGCTTGGCCTGCCAATCTTCCCAGACCTTCCCCTCAACATACGTTAATATGTCCACGTGCGCAGCTGAGGGTTGCGCATTGGCATTGTCGGCTTGGGCGGGCTGGGTGGCAACGCAGGAGGATGGCGCACCTGGGCAAACTGCCTGCCTCCTGGGGAGAGACCCCATTTGGGCAAGGTTCCTGGAGCCTATTCTTAGTGCGAGGGCAACATAACACGCGACAGTACGCGATACATGATCTACGTATGACGGTCCGTCAGTCAAACGTTGTTTGTGGGTAGAGCACAAAGCACAGGGGCAAGTAACGGCAAGGGGTGGCAGGAGCCGTATGGGTACGTGATGCCAGCAAGGGGAAACTCTGCCCAGCTGCGTCAATTCCACCGTCAGGGTTGGGTTGCCATAGTGGGTTCCGAATTAGACCAGGTGTTGGGATGAGCCTCGCGCGTGGCTGCGTCTGGGTCCTGTTCTTGTGTTTCTCGCCAGTATCGGTGTGAACACGCTGCGCATGCCTATTTTGATGAAGCGGGCATGCGCCAAAGCATCCAACGAAACAGCTTCTTTCTCATCACCCGAAAGCAACACCAATTGTCACACACGCACCAGCTTCTAGGACCAAGCAGGCTCATAGCTTCAAACGGCGCAAGGAATCACAGTTCGTAGTAGCCAGATTTCATGATCCCAGTCTTGGCCAGAAGTTTCCCAGTCTTGAAAATGCAGACAGGCATGTGCAAACAAGTGCATGCTCCGACCACAGACTCCACATACCAGTTAGTGGGGAAATCCTTCCCCACGGGGCTGAGGGCCAGGCGAAGAAGGGCAGCTCGCCCTCCACCTCCACCTGACGCGCATGGAAGGCTTAGGCCGTTGCTAGGCATGGCCATGTGGGTGGCCCCCCCTGCGAGTCAAGGTGAAACGGGTGCCCTCGAAAAAACACTACACCCATGCTTGTCCTTGGTCTTGCTGGCGTGTCGGAAACCGGAAACTGGGGGAGCAAGAGGCTGCAAAACCACATGTTCCGCAACTTCCATGTTGTCATTCCAGCGCGCATGGGGAGCAATGAGAAGCATGCATCACAAGCGATGAACACTAAGCATGTAGGGTGAACATGGTTTCAGGGTCAACACATCTTCCAGACCCCAGGCCAAGCCCGAATTCTTACCAAGCAATACCGACAACAAATGGCCAGGCGGGATGCTTTCAGACCGCCCAACTGTTCAATTGGTCTTTACCAGGCGTGGCTATGGAAGGTGTGCCGGGGCCCTGGCTCTACCACCCTGCTCCTCCGCCAGGGCTTGACCTCACCAAACCGCCGGCGATCCGAGTAATTGTTTTTTGGGAACGCGCAAGCTCTTTTTGACCTTGCTTGGGACTCCCCTCCGAGCAGGCCCAAGCTTTTTGGCTTGGTGGACAGCTTAACGGCTTCTCAAGGGTGTCCGGGGAGCGGTACTGCGCCGAAAGCCAAGCATTGTTTGATTGTTTGATGGTTGGGTTGGGTTGGGTTGGGTTGGGGTTGGGTTGGGTCTGTTCGGGTCGGGTTGCTTGGTTGGTTTGTTCGTGTGTGTGTGTGTGCGCTTGTGTGTGTGTGTGCGCGCAGGCGGCTACTCGTCCTACCATGTCCTACCCCTTCGAGCTTGTTGGCTGGTGACGAGCCGGGTTTCTCCTGCCAGCCAGCCGGCAACCCCGCCCCCCAGGCTTCAGCCTGGTTAGCGACAAGCTGGACACGCGTGACAATAGGGCTGCCAAACTTGCAACCCTTTGGCACGACCTGGCGGGCGTGCGCATGCGCCGCGCACGCGCGCGTGTGCGGGTGGGTGTGCGGGCGCGCTGGCATGCGGACGGGCGTTGCCGACACCTTCATTTCAAGCAGTTCGGCTAGCTGTGCAGCCGTGTTTTAACAGCTTCGTTTTTTTTTGTTTTCCGCACGAGCGTGTAGCACTCTCATCCTCGCACACGCAACGAAGCTATGGATGAGAGCCGGAAGCACTGCCTGACGAGCCTTGTGTAATGTGACTTTTTCGATGACGATCGCTCCTGCCAATTGATTAAAAACCGTTTCTTGTGTTGAGGGGACCCACCGGCCCACCGGTCGAGCAACCTGAAGCCTGACACAACGCGGTGGTGTTGGATTGTGTTTCAAAAGGAGGCCACCGCATGCTGCAACCGCTTTCCGCACAACCACTTTCCACCTTGGAGGCTGATGGCTGACGATTTGCAAGCCCCATCGGCATCCTAAAATGTGTCTGCTCTAGCAGCTTCTTTGAAGGCTTTCGAGATACGGGCTTTTGCGGTAGGCCTTGTGCTTGCTTAGCTCCCCATGATAAGTCAACAAGAGATGAAGCGAAACCCGGGTGAGCACGTAGTCAAGGGAAATGAACTTGATATAATTTGCATCCTCACATCTTCCGACGCCTTGCGAGCTTGCTGAGCTGAACTTGTGGCGTTCAAATACCTTGGCTTTGGGCGTGCCACGAGGTACGGCAGGACGTTTTTCACGTCGGGTCCAGCCCGCTGCCTCTTATGACCCTTGCATTGAAGCAAGTGCTGCACATCAGCCCCGCATTGCCGCATTCCCAAGGCCAGGGCCGCCCTTCACACCGATGAGGGCGTAACCCTCACGTTCTTTGCCACCAGGGATGGTGGCGCCGGCGCCTTAGTGGTTTCCACCACCCCAGCATTCTCACGTAGCGCGCTCAGCGAGAGACAGGGGATGGGATAAGTCAAAAACGACATGAATTCAGAACCTTAGAAATTCAAGCACTTCAGTGTCAACACTTGCTTAAATACCCGTTTATTTGCTGTGGATCAATGCAAACTCTTGGGAATATCCCCCTGCGCGTTGCAAATACGGGGTACGTACCAATTGTACAGGTGGGGTTGACCCACTATCATATTTGCATGCCATCTCCTGCCCCAGGTGCTGCAATGAACCTCCGGAAAAAAGGCATAGGCGTCTCAGCTTAGATAGCTCTATGCAAATCTCGCCATGCAAAGCGCACATCTTGCAACGAGCTGCCTGGGAAGCTGGCTAGCTCTGGCAAGATTCACCATGTATGGCCAGTGATGCCCAGTGGCAGCTGTGCCCTCTACATGTATGAGGTCTGTGTGAGCATCGGAAGTGCCACACACCCGGATCTAGGACACAAACTTGTGGCCTTCACTCCTTTCCTCAGCATCATTCTCCGCGCCAGCAAATCTAAAACCAAGGCAGTTTTTTCGACATGGGCGTGACATTCAACTGGTGACCCTTTGGTGGACAGCATTCGCATGGATTTTCCCAATGTCCACCGACCCTTTGAACCGTCTGGCCGTCCCATGCCCCAGCCCGCCGTAGGGTGCCGTGCTCCAGAGCGCGGCAATGGCCCGGGCGTCCAGGTTTTCCATCCCGGAATCCTGCGCAAAAACCCGTTCTCCCACCCTTTCTTAACGAGGGGATGTTGTGGATTGCCGCACCTCCCATGTATCCGCGAGCGTCTTCTGCGCAGGCCACTTAAACAAAGCCAAAGCGATGAAGGCCAGTCTAGTGCCAGAAGTGGATGACTGTAGTGCAAATCCAATCGGAACTGTGTCAGTTAATATTCAACTAACGTGCCGCCAGTGTTTGAAATGTTTGAACGGGTGAAATTGCTGTGGATTCAACGAAGCAAACACACTTCCGCACGCAAGACATTCACAAACAAATCCCACTGTCCGAATGAATGGAAGCCATGATGCCATGCCCAAATGCACAGGATCTGTCCCGGCAAGCGACCATCACGATCCGCCCATCTGGTAAGCTGTTGATATCCCCGGCCTGAGGGGGTCTCAACTGCATTCCACATGGCACGCATGGCCTTTCACTCGGAGCGTGGCTAGCCGGGTGTTCTCCGTCTGCGGGTCTGCCCAGACGTCGTAAGTCTTCCTGGACGTGACCTGCACTCCAAGGGCATCGCTAGAGCTTATCTTTTCAGAGGCTTCTTTTGCAAAGCTTGATTCTCAAAAACACATCTTTTGACCTATCCTGGTCAGAAATTTCCCGCTGAACAGCCTGCTGCGTGTCCGGGTCTACGGTCACCACGTTGAGGCCTCTTCGGCCAGCCTGGCAAATACCAATTCCATGGGCCTTCTGCACGCCCCAGTAAAGCGTTGATCGGATTAAACATTTCCAAAATGTGTGAGGGCTGGAGCTTCATTATATGACAAAGTTTTCAGGCAGTCGTGCCGACAGCAGCTCACGCAAGCGTGCAAACACGTCACTTGGGCCTCCCCTCGGATGTCAACCTTGCGGTCGTTCAGGAAGAAATCAGCAATGTTGCCATTCCCATGCCCCGCCTCAAGCCGCAAGACTCAGAATGGATCTTGAAGTGGGCCATGCGGTTTTTCTGGACCCTGCTGCCCACTTCAAAAGCAAACCTCATCGCGCCCACTCCCTTCTCTTCATGAGGATTTGTTTACAAATTCAACCGCTGACGCATTCTCAGGGCATGGCGCTGACCACTTTCACCGAGGTTGCTGTGGCCTCACCAAGTGCTTGTCCGATGGGTCCATCGCCTCCCTCAACGCCAAACAACAAGGAACGGAAAAAAAAGGAAGAAGCAACATCACTTCGAGCTACACCGCCGCCCACCTCCCCCCCAAATGCATTGTAGTTGCTCAAGCTGCTTTTCCTTTTCTCACCGCACCAATGCGCAAACAATCAGCGACCATGTAAGGCGCGCAATGCCGACTTGTTTTCCTAGCAAAGACAATCGAAAGTCACGTGATCGGACATACCAAAGCCACGAGCCATGCGACCCCCCGAGCCCTGACAAACATTCAGAGTCCAGATTGGCCGTTCCCACCTGAGGGGCTCGAGTTGGATTTCCGCTGACTTATTCGCGGCTGTTAGTCCTCAGAACGTACAGAATAAGATAAGGATATAAACTGCGAATAGAATAAAGCTATGAACAGCAAGTGTCTATTTCTACTTGACTTATCAGTGCCTATAGCTCTTTCAGCTGCTTTCTTCATGTTTATTTTATCAACATGTCTAGATGTTTAGTGATTTAATATGGTGTGTTGATGGAGGCCCAATTCTTATATCGCAAACTCTGTTTTCAGTTCCTCTTTCTATTTTGATTTAATACTTGCTTTGTTGTTTATTCAATACTTGGAGGTTAAATAGTTGATGAACAGAACACACCAACTAACTTGTAGTTCATGCTGTTATTGCGGTTCCTTGCCCTTGCAGTATTAGTTAGTTTGTCCATCAAAAGGATCATACTCTGAGCTAGCCTGTCACTGCTTCCAGGGTCGCGCATGGAGTCTGGTCTGTCACACGCCCAACGGTGGATGGCACTTCAAAAATCTAAGCCGAACCTGCAGGTGTCAAAACCAATTGGACAAACACACATTTACAGAGAGAGAGAGAGAGAGAGAGAGAGAGAGGGAGAGAGGGAGAGAGAGGGAGAGAGGGAGAGAGGGAGAGAGGGAGAGAGGGAGAGAGGGAGAGAGAAAGGGAGAGAAAGAGACAGAAAGAGACAGAAAGAGAGAGAGAAAGAGAAAGAGAAAGAGAAAGAAAGAGAGAGAAAGAGAGAGAAAGAGAGAGAAAGAGAGAAAGAGAGAAAGAGAGAAAGAGAGAAAGAGAGAAAGAGAGAAAGAGAGAAAGAGAGAAATAGAGAGAGAGAGAGAGTGAGAGCGAGATCACCTTGGGCACGGACTGGCGATGCTTCGGCTGGCGCTGCTGCCACTGGCGGCGCCGCCGCCACGGGAGGTGCCGCGGGCGCGGGTGCCACAGGAGGCGAGGGCGCAACGGGCGCCGGCGTTGGTGCTGGCCTGGCCCGCCATTGGTACGTCGCGCGCTCCTCAACTTAAAGGCGTCACCTTCCACCAGAGTACCACAAAGAGCCCATGTCTGACTGCCCTCGTGCGCAAGGTTACCTCTTGACGTCGCTATGGCACCACACTCACCATTGCAGGCGTCCCACTTAACAACCAGTGACACAAACCAAGGCCGGCACTTTGGCACCGTGGGCCTTGGAGAATGGCAACATCTCTACCCAGGTTTGCCATCTTTGCCCGTGCCATGCGTGGAGATACACCCCTGCAGTACCAAGCCTCAAGGAAACATGAGCCCGTCCACGTGTTTCTGGGGCGGGCTAGCCTCCTACCCACTTTTCAGACTACTTGGGAAAGCAAGCTCTGTGGCTCCAGGGAGCCGACAATGGCGATGCCTTCGCTCCGGACCTCAGGTTCGGGACTGGCGCTTTGTTGTGCTGTCTCCAGCCTAGCGTTTGCCCCAAACACGCTTGCTTGGTCTTTGGCTTATGCCAAGGAATCCAAGATCCCCATGGGCAGTCAGCTGGCTTGAAAGGAAGACCTTGCCGGGCTTGGATTCCCTCCGCTTCCCAAAGCCCAGCGATGCCCGTGGGCCACAAAACGAGTCTTCTCCAATCTTTGGAATGAACTCGTTGAGTTTGGCATAGTTTCGCACATACTGGGATTCGTTGCTTTTTGTGAAGCGCCTCATGGTTCGTCTGCAATGCGAATCACCTGGGGGTAGTCGTGCAGTACGAGTGACTTTCGGTTGTACATGCACTTATGCCTGGACGGAATACTGGCAAATGTCTAGCTATGATGTTCACCAATCTGGTTTGAGGGTCCTACTGTTCCTACGCCCACGTTGGTGAAGACCGACAAAAAGCCAGCAGAAATCTCCATGCTAAGCTCCCTCTAATAGTTAAGGTCCCTCGAACAAAAAAAACGGTTATCCAAATCCAAAGTCGCCAATACCAAATATAGAATAGGCAAATTCTACACCAACTCCACTTTAGCAAGACCTCAAGTAGTCGAAATCGGAAATTATACATGTCTACACATTGGATTGTGCTTGAAGGGGGGGCTATTAGGAGGAGGGGTTACCCACCTTGATAGAACCACACGTCAGTGGGTTTTGGGTCTTAGTCATGTGTGAGAGTAACAACGCAAAGGGTGAGTAAAACGTATTCCAAGGAGCCGTAGCCAGCAAAGCTTCCAGCTGGGCCATGATTGGGTCGTGCGTGCTCTTAATGTTTAAGCATGTGGGTTGAAAAAAAAACCCCGTGGACAACCCTTGTATCCTTATGCCTCAGTATCGGTCAGTATCGGTTTTTGTTCCTCTGCATCGGTTTGCAGTGTTTTGGCAGCTCTGGCTCGAAAGTCGCGACTTTTCCGTACAAGTGTAGTAGGCGAAGTACACTCTGCCAGCTCCCAGCCCCAGCTGGAAATCGGAACTTTCAGTACAAGTGTAGTACACAAAGTACATTTTGGCAGCTCCAGCTGGAAAGTAGCAACTTTTCAGCAGTATGCGCAGGACACTTTGGCAGCTCCGGTCGCAGCTTTTCAGTGCAAGCAAGTGTAGTATGGTGTAGTATACGAAGTACATTTTGGCAGCTCCACAGCGGCAGTCGCAACTTTTCAGTACAAATGTAGTACACAAAGTACATGTTGGCAGCTCCAGAGAAGGCTGCAGGGCAGCTGGTTGGATTCGGCATGGCGGCCAATGAGTTGGGTATCGGTTGGGTATCGGTTTGGGTATCGGTTTGGGCCCTGCAAATTTATGATTCCGCAATCTTGGTTTGCGACAACAACTAGGACCTGATGTGTGTCTTCATGGCTTCTGGGGGTATCGTTTTTTTTTCCTCTGTATCGGTTTACAATGGTTTTGGCCTGCGAAACAAGTTAAGGGACGGCCCCTTACATAACGAAAAGGCGCGGGGTATTTTTTTCAGCCCATGTGTAACAGCGATGGTAGCTGTATCACCTTGCTGGTGAATACACAAACTCACACACACACACGTGCAAACAGGCGCATGCACGCACACACAGGCACACACACACACACCACACACCACACACCACACACCACACACACACACAAGCACACACAAGCACACACAAGCACACACAAGCACACACAAGCACACACAAGCACACACACACACACACACACACACACACACACACACACACACACACACACACACACACACACACACACACACACACACACACACACACACACACACACACACACACACACACACACACACACACACACACACACACACACACACACACACACAATCGCACACACACACACACAAGCGCACACACACAGAAGCACACACACACAAGCACACAAGCACACACAAGCACCCAAGCACGCAAGCACGCAAGCATGCAAGCACGCAAGCACGCAAGCAAGCAAGCAAGCAAGCACAAAAACACAAAACAAACAAACAAAGAAACCAGCCAACCAAACAGAACAACCGGAGCGAGACAAACGTACGCAAAACAAAACAAACGAACAAACAAAACACACACAAACACAACATACCAAACCGAACCAAACCAAACCACACACACACACTCATGCACCAAACTCCACCCAAGCGCTTTTCACCTTTTTCTGCTTTCCTGCCGCCTTTGTTTGGGAGGCCTGGAGTGATTTGATCACAGTTCAGTTCGGGGCAGGGCCGCGCGATGCGCTGCAACCTGGGAAGGGCGGAACTCAGACCCATGATTGCCAGGGTGAAACACCGAGAAACCTTGTTTCTTTCCCAAGCCTCAGGGTTGAGGATTTGGAAAAAGGTATGGGAAAATGCCCCCTTCCTTTCTCGAGATTCAGGCATTTCGAGTCGTCATTGAAAGGAATTCCAACAGAACGGGCAAGCATTTGTCCGCCCGCGTGGCCGAGTCTCATTTGGGTTCTGCAACCCTACAACTCACTGCTCATATGTGTTTGCTAAAACAAGAATGCAACCGTCTAGGTTGGGCCAAAGGCCGAACGTGTCCCGTAATTCAAAATTTTAGTTGCCCAGCTACCCTGGCAAAGGGATCCTTTTAGGAAGCACTTCCATTTTTGAGCGGGAAGCCACCCCAGCACAAACAACAAGGGACAAAAAAAACACGGAAAACAACACAACTGGTGGGATCCACCAGTTTTAGGAATCGGGAACCCCAAGTTCGCCAAGGCGCCGCTGCCTCATGGGCGGCTTTGTGAGCCTCCAGTGCCGCTTTGTGGGCATCCAGGGCGGCCTGGTGCGCCTTGTGGGGGTCCAGCGCATGCCTGGCAGCGGAGATTCCCAGACTTTTGGTGCCTTTCGATGCCGAAAGGAAGCCGCCGAAGAGGACAAGACCAAAGTGGCCTATAGCTGCTTGATCACTTTGAAAGGATCCCCTACACCTCGATTTTCCACCAACCATCTGGCGACCGCGCGCTTCGAGGGTTTCGGTGGCCCGGTGCCCATGTAAGGCCCGGAAGCAAGCCGTGCTCACAGTGCTCACCGAATGGGCGGCTGTGTAGGGGGTGAAGCGTGTTCGGTGTTGGGGGTGGGCAATTCGCATAAGATGCATAAGCACACGGCTCATTTGCAACTACCAGCATCATCTTGGCACGCCACTCATGAGCTGATTAGTCTGCGTGCCTTTCTAGGGGGGGATAAAGGAGTATCCTTGAGAGGTGCTTGTTGAAGAAAGAGCTTGCAAAACGGCTTGATGTTAGTTAGGCGCGACGTTTTGCGCACGTATTGAACAACAAAACCATATGTTGCAAGCTTCCAGTCCACTTGAAGTGTGGCAGGAAGCAACCACCGCCAATATCTAAGCGTGTTCTCTTCGATTTGTTTTTCTTAAAACAAAATGCTGGAAAAACACTAAGCAAGCACTCAGTGAACTCATGGTCTAAATGCTACGAAACATTGTTTGCATAGTGTTTGCTGGTGGAGGCATGCACGAGAAAACAATTGATGCAAGCAGGTGCGCCAGGTGTCCGTTGCGCGTGAACATTGGGCTTTTGGGGTGAGAACCGGCCGCCTCGAATCTTTGAGCCTGTTTGGCAAAAGATCCTTGGAACCAAACATTTCAAGTGATGGCCAGATCCTGATGCCTTGAAGGAACCCCGCTGTGGGCAAAAGGCCTTGAGCGAAAGCAGGGCCCTATATCTGAGGCTAGAGGTGCTCGTGGCTGCGCTCACTTCCCGGTGAGTCGACGAAGCAAAACTGTCCGCATGCCTTCGGTTCACCCCTCTTCCCCTGTGCATTTGCCGCATGGCGGACCTGACCACGAGGGCTGAATTAAGCGCCAGGTCAAGAACAAGTGGTCTTAACCTAAGGGCTACCGCAGGTTTCATGTTCCCAGAAAACCTTCAAACTCGCGTCCCACATGTCCCCCTTTCTGCAAACACCGAAACCCGGCGAGGCGCGGGAGATGTGCCGCGTGCAGAGCGTCTGGCGACTGATGTGTCGATGTCTGGGTGTGCACCGTTTTGACCGACTTGCGGGTAGTGCCCCGGCCGTCCTTGGTGCATCAAATGACTATTATAACCATGGGGAGTCTGTGGGGTGGTCCCATTCGGTTTCCCTTTGATTAACACGCTTCCAAAAGGGGGTGCCGACTTTGAGGGCTGGATTGGTTTTGTTGGAGTTGAGGCTACGAAATCATCCAGCTTCGAGTGCAAATCCAGCGCGAGCCACCGGCCCAGTAGAACTGATTCGGCCGACCGCGACACTCACAAGGATTCGCTGCATCCATTGGTGAGCCAGCTTCTGGCAACCCACGATTCTGGGGCATCAGCCGCCACACACTAACAACATCTGAATCACAGCAGCACACAAGCGCCGCACTTGCAACGAAGCTAGATGGCTCCAAAAACATCAAACTCTGCTCATGTATTTGTTGGAAGCTCTGCCCTCATGACAGGGCAGGCTGCCCACACAATCATGCGTCATCCTTCCACCCATGTTCAAACGTGCCAAACCATGAGCCTCGCGAGAAGCTTATTCCCCGTGCAGCTTGCTTTGAACAAGTGCACCCAACGTGGCTCTGAATCTTCACAAGCCGCCCATCACGTGCCTGGTAGGCGTCGTGCTGACGAGTCGCATCCTCGGTGGAGTGGCTGGTCACAATCTTCTCCCTCCCATCCTCCGAGGACGTTTCCACGTCAAAGCTGGCGCCTCGCTTCACCTTGGCGCGGATGGCCTCTGCGTGTTTTCTCCACTGCTCCTTGGAGCCGGTCTGGGAGGACCTAGCCAGGTGCTCAATGAGATCCTGGTACAACGCCGACTCCCCGAAGACGTCCTTGAACACCTTCGCAGCCCTCTCCATGTCGAAGTCTCGCTTGCCAGGTTCTGCATGGGCACCTGGGGGCGAACGTTTGAGTTGGACATCAGGAATACCTGGGAGCTTGCGTCCACCAGTTTTGAGGGTGTGCATCTTTCAAGCTCATCACCACATTCGCTTTATAGGCAGCAATTAAGTCCTTAAGAATCGCCAGCCACAAACGACAAGGCTGACAAGCAAATCAAGAGGCTTTGAATTTGATACTTCCTCAATGACTCGGGCCTGAAACAACCAAACACAGTGCTTCCCAATTGCCCCCGGTTCCATCAAGCAGAATTAAAGAAGGATGTGCAAGTGGCCAACTTTTGCGACTCTTGCTGATCGGTGCGCGTGCACGGCAGGTCGGCGGAGGCACGCCCGCCACCCTACTGCTGCAATCTACCCGAAAAAGGCCCAGACGTACAGTAATCCCTGCCGGGGGGATGTGGACACGCAGCGCAAACGCAAAAATGCACAAACGCAAACTCCAAAACAAACAAACACAAATTCAAACACAAAACAAAACGCACACACACACAAAACACAAACAAACAAGCAAGCAAGGAAGGAAACAATCAGACACACGCACACTGTTCTTCGTTGACTGGCCCCCGAAATGGCCCAACTGTTCGCGGGTTACGGACCCGGAACGTCCACCTGGGCCCTGCTTTGGGTCACCTTCTCCCGCCTTCCGGCGAGGGCTTCCCGTGGGCATAGGCCTGGCGCCGTTGGGGGTCCGACAGCACCTCATAGGCCCAGGAGATCTCGATGAAGCGCTGCTCCGCCTCCTTTCGGGCAGAGGTGGGGGGAGGAGGGGGGGGTGGCAGGGCCATTTGCACGCCTGATGTTGAAGCCACCTCCAAACTTCAATGAAGCATGGCTTAGAGTCTAGAGGTGTCCTGGGTGTGAGCCGTGCATCCTGAAACCAGGGCATCCAACCTTGCTGGCAACAGAAACATCCTGGCCCTCCACACCCCGGCTTACGCCTGCAAGATTCACATATGTGAGTCCGGCCAAGCCAGGATTCGCACAAGTAAGTGAAAGGATCCTAGTCCTACAACCCGTGCGGACTTCCTGCCCGGCCCCACAAGATGCCACAACTAAAAGATGACAAACCTATGGCTCACTTCAGTCCTAAGGTGAGGTGCCTTCCTCAATTCCTTTTGGTTGGCCAAGGGCCACCGGACTGACGACTCTCCAGCGAACAGGCTTAGAACCTCAGTCGTGCGCGCCTCCTTCTGCTCCGCCGAGACTTTGTCAGGGTGCCACTTCAAGGCCGCCTTTCGATAGGCCTGCTTCAACACAGCACCTTGGAGGTCCAAGAAAAACATGGGCCATGAGACCTCCGATCCGAAACGCTGCAGCTTCCAATCTGTGACTCAATGGTCGCAAAATCGCAAAACAAAGCTTTCGACAGCGTCTTTGAACTGGGCAGTGTCTTGTAGTCTCCCCAGGTCCCCCCACGGCATTGACAAACACTCTTGCCAACGGTCCACCCAAGACAAGCAATGATGATCTGGCACCAGGCGAGTTCAAGAGAGTGACGTGCCGCCAAGATGCCGTCAAGGCTGTCGCCCCGCTTGATGCCCAACACTTCGTATGGATCCTTGGTCACAAGAATCCTATACACACATATAGATATGTAGAGATACATAATATGTGTACATATATATATATACGCATATGTATGCAGAATAATGATTTCAATGGGGGACACCCTTCAACATGGCTGGTGAACATCCACCAAATGGGTCTCCCATTAAGATTCATTGAACCTCGAACCTGGCGGGGCCGCAAATCATTGGAACATGGCCAGGCTGAGGAGTAGTGCCAAGAGGGAAGCCCAAAGGACAGCTACCAATTGCGGGATGCCTTTTGCCAAGAGGCGACTCCTTCCGGCTGCCATGCAAATGCACGGCACGTCAGCCATGCCAAGGCCAGCGCGCGAGCAAGCAACATGATAGATCTAGCCAAGATGTAAAGAACCAATCGGCGGCCGCACCTAATGATGGGTGGGACTGACGACCCTTGCCAACCTTCATCTACCAAGGCGTTGATTGTGGGTCAAATGGAAACAGACCACAATGGCAAACCCATAGCGCTTCTGCTGTGATTTCATTTCTGAGCAAACAACGGCACATTTGTGCCCTTGGGCCCATTGCAACGTTAACAGGCTTCTGCCTAGGGTTACCAACGGAGTCTTTCCGCCCACTTTAATGTAGCAATCCAGGTCCGTGCAGGCGTGGCGTGGCGTGGCGCGTATGCCTCACTGCATGCTCACCCTAGAAAACATCAAGGGGCGTATCTCGTCTTTCCGGTTTCTGACCATCTGGGCAAAATCATGTAAGTTGTACAGGCTCGGCACGTGTGGCTTGCCAGTTGCAAGGTCACAAAGGCCAAGTTCCCGACACTTTGCCAGCCAATGACCTCAGCTCGAGTAAGGCCATGCTCGAATCCTTGCGTCAAAATTGGAACTGACACGCAGCGATTGTTGTCGCAAGGATTCGAATGTGGATGATCTTCGATCAAATCCTTGCTGTTGCCTTTGATCCTTTTACGATTGTTGTCTGATACATTGATCGATCATCCTGTTGATCAAAGCCAAGTCCAAGCGTCGTGGAAACGCAAGACAAACATTAAAAGGCATCTGACTACGCATGGTATTGTCTCCCAACGGTGCACGCTGTCACGTCGGGCTCCAAACACACGCGGTTAGGATCGCCAGGGGGCGTGAGTCTGCCATGATTGCCGGGCTTTCGACTAAAAAACATGACCAAAAGGAACATCTTGATTAGGGCTCTCTAATTGTGCGTTGCAGGTCTAGCAACGTTGGGCAAACCTAACCTTCGGAACACTCATTGGGTGAACTAGCTGAAGGGAATGCTTGCGTCACGCTTTTGTGGGAGGTGAAACTGAGCGGATTCGCCATATAAAGGCCAAGTGTTGTCACGTTTAGAAGCCCAATTTAGCTCCATCTGGCAACCCCACCGCGAAGCAATCAAAACTCCCAGATGTGATATGTCCTCCAAGGCCCGCGCTCCCGGAGCAAACGGAGTTCCTCGGCGAAGGGAATATCAGCAACAGTCACTATCCACTATCTACTGCTTGTTGGTGTGACGTTCTAGGCCAAGTGTCCGCGTCATTGCCCGTGACTATGCGGAAGATTGGGACGCGTCTTGAAGCTACGGGCTTTCCATGCAACCACACCTTCTCGGTGCCAGCCTTCTCCAGGAAGGAGTGTTTGGGGCTGGTGAGTTTTGGGGTTGGTCCGTTTGGGGGACTGCGAGGTAGTTGCTATTTCCCCACGTGCAACCATCCGACACGGAGACTAGTGCCATGCTTGGAAGGAACAAAGCTTCCAACAAATAACATTCAAATATTGTATTGTCAGAAAAACACATATTCAGGCATCACCACTTGCAAGCTCAACATGTCGAGTGAAACCAGGACTTCGGTGTGGTGGGTCTCCAAAGACTTGGATACCGTATGTGCAGTGGTCAACGTGATGGTCTGGACTGTTGTCACGGCTCTCTCAACAGGAGCCGAATTGGCTGGCCTCTCGGCCACGACACTGATGGAATCTGAAGCCACATGAGTGCATAAAGAAGTTTCACAGAGGGTAAAATCAGTGATTGCACTCAGATCTTGCTCCCTATGTGTGGCAGCGCGTGAGCTCTGGGGGCGTGCTCGTTGGTAGGAGCGACCCCACAGAAAGTCAACGCCTACTGGGCAAGTTGACTGGTTGAAATCTCAACAAATGCTCGTCGGTCGTCGGTCCCATTTCGTCTGGCCTCACCCTTTTTGTCTTTTCCAAAATGGCAGACCCTCCCTCCCCCCGTCCCTCCCCCCCCAAAAAAAAAACAAGAAAAGAAAAGAAACGCTTCTTGCTAAGCAAATTTCGAAGGGAACGCTATGACAACGAAGTGCCCAGCCTTCACAAGCTCCTCGGTCTGCTTCCGAAGGAGCCGGGTCCTGGGGACATGAATCGAATGAGCCGACACTCGGGGGAAAATCTCCAAGAGGGCGATTAATACAACCTCCGGAGCTCCAGAGCCACCGCAATAGATCTTAAACATCGCAATGCAACCAACAAACCATTCCTAATACCACACACACAAGGAAACACATATGCAGGTGCCCTTCTAGTAGTGATTTGTGCCAATCACGTTTAAAAAATGTTGGCGCAGGCGTTCCATGCAATTTGTGTATGTGTTGTGTGTGTGTTGTGTGTGTGCATGTGTTGTTTGTTTGTTTGTTTGTTTGTTTGTTTGTTTGATTGTTTGTTTGTTTGCTTGTTTGTCTGTCTGTGTCTGTCTGTGTCTGTCTGTGTCTGTCTGTCTCTGTCTCTCTGTCTCTCTGTCTCTCTGTCTCTCTGTCTCTCTGTCTCTGTCTCTCTGTCTCTGTCTCTCTGTCTCTCTGTCTCTCTGTGTCTCTGTGTCTCTGTGTCTCTGTGTCTCTGTGTCTCGGTGTCTCCGTGTCTCTGTGTCTGTGTGTGTGTGCGTGTGTTGTATTTGTGTTTGTGTTTGTGTTTGTGTTTGTGTGTTGTGTGTGTGTCTGTACGTCTTTGTGTGTGTGTGTCTCTGTGTGTGTGTGTGTGTCTGTATGTCTCTGTATGTCTCTCTGTGTGTGTCTCTGTGTGTGTGTGTGTGTCTGCGTGTGTCTGTGTGTGCCTGTGTGTGTCTGTAAAAGAGTTGCATTTTGGGTTCGCTTGGATTACTTTAAACGGAAGCACCCCCCCCATGTATGGCAATGATGCCCACCCACCGGTCCCACTGAACACAACCAGTTCAGCATGCCCCGTGCTTGGGCAGCGGCTCTGCAGCCAGCGAAGACGTCTCCTTGCTGGAGGCTGGTACCTGCACTATCTCAAAACAGACCCCCTTCCACATGGTTGGATTCGTTCCGTTGGCCTCTTTAGTTGGACCGCAGTTCCTGGCTGTGACATTTATCGACTGGGAAAAAGCCCGAAGGTCTTCACATCGAGCCTTAGAGCTGGGGATATGGCAACTGCCTTCAGCTATGAGGGATCCCCGAGAAAAACAGGGAGTCCCCCAGTTCCATTCATGAAGTCCTCCCCACAAAGGCCCCTTGGGAACCAGGCGTGAACATCTACCCCCTCCTTGCATATTTAGACTTGGTTGTCTTCTGGTTGCGGTAAGGAGCCTAGAACGCCCAGAAGAAAACGCCGAGGCGCTCTACCCAGCACCTCCTCCATGACAGCCTGCTCCTGCCCGCGTCGACAAATACGAGAAGCGCCCCTGCAGTTTTACTGGGACGACTCAAAATATAATGGACAATTTAAGCTATTTGGCCCCAAAACCATTGAACAAATGAGTGGTTGAGCACTCAGCTTGGCCACCGGAAGGACCGAACCGGAGCCCTGTGCTGGACCTGAGGTTAAGAGTTTCCGTGACTTACCGAACATTTTAACTTTTTAGGCCGGGGCTTCGGACCTCCAACTGCCAGTGGCAATGCAAATTGGCACCGCATCTTCCAAAAGCCTGGGCTGGGTAAAATGATATATTGACCAATCCTAGTCAGCCCTTTTGTGTCCTTGCGTGACCTAACGGAAGGGCCCAGAAAGAAAGAGCCCGTCAACAATCCGAACGAGACAACCACATTCTTCCCAAACAAAGCCGCACACTTGGACAACCGAATGCCCCCTGAGTTGCAGCTGACAAACCTGCCCAAACCCACAGCCCGCAGCCCGTGCCTGCTCAGGAGTCCATTCTTCGCCCGGCCCTGCCTCAGACACAGTGCGACTATGTGCGACTGCAAGCAGGAAACCTTTCAGTCAAACCAACTCGCACTCATCCGATGCAAACTGGGTCACCTTTGACCAACAGCCAGAATCAGCAAGAAATGTCCACATCAAGGGGGCAGTACCGTCGTCCCTGTACTACAGAAACATGGTGCAAATTCGCTTCCCAGCCCCCTCTTGCACAGCTTCTGAGCTTTCCAGCTGGAGAGTACGCAGCTGACAAAGCCACCGCAGACCTATGTCTCTGCAGCACAGGCCTTGGTAGCACACTCGTCTCCGAACAAATACCACGGCAAGGTATGGGCGATTTACTTCAAATCACATCAATTTACTATGATTCTCAAGCTAAGAAACAGGGAACCCACCCCACGCAAAGAACCTTGATCATGCGTCAGCTCATGATGTTCAAGCAAAATGCCCTGAATCTAAAAACTCTCAGCTGCACGCCGGGAAAATCGGTGCGCCGCCTGCGGAAGCTGCATGCCCCCGAGCCCATGTGTGCTTTGGGGCCTGGCCGCCTGGCCTGCTGAGCATGCAAAAACTCCAAAGAGGGCGAAGTGATGGCAGTAAGAGTGCC